GCCGGGAAGGGCGAAGGGGAAGCTCCGGCAGTGCCGCTACCTCAGCAGCCGCATGCCGGCCGTGGCCCCCAGGTACGTGGGCGTCTCCCGCTGCTGCTCGGCCGGGACRATCTCCATGGCCTTGTCCAGGCAAGGCTTCAGGCTGGCGCCAGCTCCCGCAGGGTCGTCCGCATAGCTGGAGATGCCAGGTCCTGCCAGAGGGAACCGGGGATGGAGAGAGCCCAATGCCACCCTGCAGGGACAGCACCTGCCCAGGGGACACGTCCACCTAGAATTGCCCAGGGAGCTCCACAGACAAACCCAGATGTCCCATCAGAACCCCAAACCCCACTGTGGTTGGTGCTGTGCRGACACCAAATGCAAAGTGCTGCCCCAGGGATCAGCAGGAGCCACCCAAGCGGTGACACCGGATTGTGCAGGGATTTGTGAGGAGCTTTTGGAATGCCCTGCAGGCACACAAACCTGCGTATTATGGAAATGGGTGTGTCCAGGTTCTGTGGGGCGAAGAGCCAAGGGAGCTGAGGCAGAGGAAAGGAGCAAAGTGCACATCCAGGATCTCAAGCTGTGAGGTGATGCTCATGCAGACAGGACTGGTTGAAAGGACCTGAGCTATCTGGGGCCAAATTCCTCACCCACCTCTGCACCCACAGTGACTGCAGGGCTTGCTCAGGTGCAGACCTTCCCCTARCCCTTTCTGTGGTTCCTCACAGGGCCATCTCCTTTAGCTCATTGCAGGCAAACTTGGGACAGCGATCCAGGAGGCTGGGACAGAGRGAGGACAGATCCTGGCACACTCACCAGACACAGAACAGGCCTCCACCTGGGACACAATGCCGGTACCGTTCTCCTTGTCCGCGGGCCACCGGTAGATGTAGAGGGAYGTGTGTGTGGAGCCAGCATCAAACACCAGACCGTACTGGGGGAGGCAGAGGGGACAGGGGGTCACAGCCTGCTTGGGGTGCACCAAGTGCCACGGGGKGTTCTGAGAGCTCCTGCTCCTGCTTCCCATGTGTGACCGTGAGCAGCAGAGGTCTGCACGTCCACCCTCCCTTCAGCAGCCCTGCTCCACCTCTTACAGCCCCGGTTTCGCCACTCCAGCGAGTTACGGCTCAGGAAGGACACGCGGGTCAGCGGGGTGAGTCGCAGAGCAGGAAGGCATCCAGCCATGTCCCAAAGGGCTCTGGCTGCTCACAGGCCTCTGGCAAATCTCACAAAATCTGACATTTTTTACTAGACCGGCAGCAGAAAGAAGCAGGGGAGAGAAGTGCAAACCCAACAGGTGACTTGGACGTCTGAAAACAGGGAAGAGAGTGCMTGGGAGACAGATGGAGCAGCTGTGGGGAGCAGGCTGCGCTTCTCTCTCCCACCCTTAGCAAACAGCCAGGACTGTGGTTTGGGGGAGGTTGGTCTGCCCAGTGCCACCTTGATGAGGTTAAGCCCTGAGAAGTTGGGCTGGTTATGGGGAAACTTGCAAGCTGAGAGGAAGGCAGGGCTGATGGAAGAATGAGAGGTGGAAAGGGGCTGGTGGCATTCCCAGGGTCCCCCAGCTCTCACTGGACACCTACTTTGATCCTGGTAGGAAGGACAGCATCCTTTGCCGGGGTCAGGACCAGGACGAAAACGGCCGCCGCCAGCACACCCAGCACGGCCGCCGAGCCCCAGCCCACCGCCCTGAGCAGGCGCGGCGACATCGATGCTCTTTGGGGAGGTCTGTAGGAGGGGATGGGTTTGGGAGGGGTCACTGGCGACGGATGGTCTCTGGGAGGTTTGCGGGGAGGCGTGGTCTTTAGGAGGAGGGTCTGCAGAGAGGGACTGTGGGGAGGGRTGGCTTTTGGGAGGAGGGTGTGTGAGGAGGGAGGGTCTTTAGGAGGAGGATTTGGGGGGAGGGATGGTCAGTGGGAGGCGGGTCTGTGGGGCGGGATAGTCTTTGGGAGGATTTGTGGGAGGGGGGATCTTTAGGCGGGTCTGTGGGACGGGATAGTTTTGGGAGGGTCTGCGAGGAGGGAGGGGCTTTGCCAGGGTAGCCCCAACCCGCCCGTCGCTGCCCCGAGCCTGCAGCCCCTCCCGGGGTCCCCTTCTCCCGGCAGTTCGGGGTACATTCACGGCTTTAGTGACCCCGTGGGACACGAGGCGGGCGGGAGTGGAGACCGTAAACTTGTGTAGCCCCGAGCCGCCGGGAAGAGGCAGGGGCGAAGCTCCAGCCTGCCACGGTCCGGCCTTCCCGTACCTGTGCCCGGAGCCCTCTCCGTCCCTCGGTGGGGAGGCAATCGGGACACAGCCCGTTCCCCTCCGGTCCCGGGCCCGGCCCGCCCCGGCCGAGCGGAGCGAAGCGAAAGCGAAGCGGAGGCGCTCTCGGACGTCCGGGTCCGGCCCCGGCCGGGGCGGGCTCTGGGCAATGCCGCGGGCGGAGGGAGCGGGGAGCTCGGGGCTGCYGGCACCGGACACCCGCCCCCGGCCTGCCCCTGCCTCTGCCCGTGCCTTTGCTGTACAGTGCCTGCTCCCTGCCTTCCCCCTGCCTGCACCACACTCCCACACCTCTGCCCGCACCTCTGTCCGTGCACTGCCGGTATGTCTGCCGCATCTCTGCCYGCACCCAGCCAGCTCCCTGCCTGCMCTGTCCCAAGACCAGGGGACAGGTCCTGGCCATGGGGACAGACAGGACCCMGGCAATGGGAAAGGCTCCCGAGTCGTGGGGACAGTTCAGTCCCTGACTGTGGGGATGGCTGTGGGGTGAGGTCTTCACCTGTCAGGTCCTTCCTGTTTCTGTGCCGAGCCCCGCTGCCAGCCTGGCTCTGCCGGTAGCGGGGCACTGGTGACAGCAGAGCCAGGTGACAGCAGGGTGACAGGGCAGGCTCGGCCCCTCGCAGGTCTGGCAGGGATGCCTGGGGACTGCCGGAGCTCAGCCGGGCCAGGCGCTGCCGCGGGCAGGGGCTCCCTGCGATCTGCCCCCTCTCTGATCCCCGCGGGCAGCGCAGCTCCCCCGCTCCCGGGCTGAGCGCGCCGGGCTGTGCCGCTCCTCCAGCGGCGAAGTGGTTAACCCGGACGGTCCTTCACCCCGGCTCTCCAGCCACGGCCCCGGTGCCTCCCGGACAAGCGCTCCCCTTGGCAGGTTGCTGGTCCGGGGCCAAGGGGAGGGACGCGCCGGCGGGGCAGCCTTTGTCCCAGGAGCGGACTGCAGCTCCAGGTACGCGCTGACTCCGGGGCCGGAGCGGCGGCCTGAGCCGCGGGGGTGAGCCGGGGCAGGCGCCGGGGAGAGCTGGGGTCGGGGGCTGCTGCCCCTCCATGGAGCTGGGCTGGGAGCGGGCCCTGGGCAGCAGCGGCGGCGGTGCTGGGGGTAGCACGCTCCGTGTCTGCTGGGGCAGGGAGAGAGGGCTGGGGCGGCCACTGGCCACTGGATGGGACAGGACCGGGCACGGAGGGCACTGCCAAGCGCTGGTGGGAGGTGGGGTGCAGGAAACTGCTCTGCCTCGCAAGGATGCTCCTGGCATCCACAGTCACCCTCTCAGAACCTTCAGAACCCCTTTGACTTTAAATTCCCAGATGTGCCCAGTGGGAAGTCAGCTCCCCATTTTCCTGAGCAGCAGGCAGTTTAGATCCAGCTGTGGCTCTGTGCCTTTTGCCCCAATTCTGGASGCCCTGCTCCCTGTGCACAGCGATGCTGCAAGTGAGGGATGTCCCACAGGGTGTTTGACAAGCCCTTCATCATGCCCAGTCCTACAAAAACGAGTGCAGCCCTGGTCCAGGTGCTGGGCACAGCTGAGAACTTCCCACACCTGGAAATGTGCAGGGACAGAGCAGCATCGTGCCTCCTCTGCAGCTCTGGAGGCACCAGCACCACCTTCCTGTCCTGCTCCTCCCTGAACTGCATGGATGGCAGCACATGTTGGAGCTCACCAGCTCCCGGATGCCACAGAAAGGCTGGGCAKATGGACCAGCTTCTCACATTGTTTTCAGCCAGCTGGGCTCCCTTCCTGTGCCCTGCTCTCCTCACTGGGAGAGCTGGCTCTGTGCTGCCTTTGAATGTTGCCTCCTGTCCAGTCAAAGTGGGAATTAGTCCCTACCAGAGCAGGAGGAGCCCATTTCCCACCTTYTCCCAGATGCAGGATGTGAAATTTATCACCAGTTCATGTCCTTCCATTSCACAGTCCCTGGGACAGAATTTTCCAGGATGTAGACTGGGCTGGGAACTTCTGCCTTTGCTTTGTTTGTTATCTGGAGCACACAAATCACATCCCAATGACACAGTTACATCTGGGCACACTCCAGCAGGGCTGGTGGRACTGGAGATGTGACAGCTAGGGACATAGTTTAGTGGTTATCATGGTGGTGTTGGGTTAATGATTGGMCTCTGAGATCACTTTGAATCGATGACCACTTTGTTGTCTCAAAGAGATCCTTAATGATTCCCTGTTTCTGTGACAGGGATTCATCAGCTGCATCCCTGTGATCTCTTCTGGCCATRGCCCCTGTGGAGGGAGGGCTCCTGGCTGTTGTATAAAGTCTGAGAAGGGGTTTCAGTAGCCCCATGTCTCATGGCATGGGCCAGAACAGTGRCTGCTCTTCATTGCTGTGCATCTCATGCCACGCAAGAGATTGGTCACCCTTGTTCATTACTGGAGATGCTGATTCCAMAATAGGAACCAGCATCTCCTTTGGCCTTACCAAAAGTCTTTCCACTGACCTGGGAGAAGGGCAGGGGAATTTCTCAGGGGTTTTACTCAAAGGGGAATTGCGTAGCCAAGCAACAGCTCCAGGTTCCCCCCAAAGCACTGGTGGGGTTAAACCACATCCCTGGGCTGTACCCAGGCTCTCAGGACATCCACAGTTTTCATGGAGTGTGAAGTGAGATCACCCCAGCTCCCAGCAGGCATGCCTGTGTGGCTCATAGCATGGGGAAGGGCAGTTCAGGATGAGGAGGGAGAGTTGTGCATTTCAAAAAGCACATATGGGCYAGCTGTGGGGTGCTGAGCATGTGGCCATCTCCTCTGCCCTGTGCTAGGGTTGTCACAGACCACCAGACWCCTTGGCTTTGCTGCCATTTCTTATGGGGGGCTGGTTCTGCTGGGMCCTGGGCCCTGCTGGACAGGTGGGAAGTGCTCCAGACCTCAAGGGCRATGGCTATGGGCATTCCAGCCTGGCTGTGGGCTGTTTGCCCAGATTGGCAGGAGCTCTGCCCTCCTGCATGCCCTTGGGGCTGCAGAAGAGGCGTGGGGATCACAGCAGACATGGACACAGTCCCTGTGTGTGTCTTACCTGCTGTGGCACCAGCACGAGCTGGGCCAAGGAGCAGACACAGCTGGTGATGCTGTTTCCCTGCCCCCCCAAGGAGCAGAGAGGACCCTCTCAGGGACAGTCTGGACCCGCTGGGCAGCAGATGTGACCTGGTCCCAGGCGCTGTGGGATGGGTTTTGCGGTGGCAGCACGGGGTGCTGGAGGGATGTGGCTCTGTGCCCCAGAGGGGATGGTCACACTGGGAACCTGCGAGGTCACCATCCTGCTCCCAGCATGGGACTCCAGTGAGCCGTGGCCGGTTTCCCCCAGTTGTGCTGCTGGTAAGGAGGATGCTGACTTGCCAGCCAGACAGCAGTTGGAGCAGGGCTGAGAGCTGTGGTCCAGGCACAGAGGGGCTGCCGGTGAGAAGGCAGGGCTGAAAAATCCATGCTGGAAATCCTCCAAGGATGGAGTGCTCAGAATGGCAGTGTCCCAACCCCAAAACTGTCAACAGCCTTACTGGAACAGGTCCATGAGCAGCCATAGACTGGGGAAAGGCTTCATTTCTGGGGAAGGGGACAATCCCATATCCATCCATGAAGTGTGAGCTGGGGGCTGGGGCTGTCCTTGCAGATTGGAGGAGGAATGGACTCCAAAGCCAAGGCCATTGCAGGTCTCCTGGCAGCCACCTGTGTCTGCAGCATCGTTGCCCTCATTCTGAGTGTCGTGAACGTGAAGGATGTGCTTCTCCCCCCCAGCACCAAGGTAGGGTCCTTGGGAGGAGCATAGCTCTCCCTTGGCTGCTGGCTGCCTGTGGGATACTGGATTTTGCCCAGGTTTCAGGCAGGCTGTGCTGTTCGTCACCAACGCAGGGACAAAGCTCTGCACAGCCTGGGGTGGGTCTGGCTGAGTTTGGTCACTGTGCCTGGCCCCACAGCACATGCATCCCAAAGTTCTGCCAGCTCCAGGGGCTTGGGATGGATCCTTGTCCCCAGCACAGCTGGTAACTGCAATGCCACCAGACTCTGTCCTGGTGACAGTCTTGTTTGGCTCCCCTGCCACCAGGGGCTCCTCTGGCTCTCCTGGAGCATCTCTGGCTCTGTAGTGGATGATGCTGCTCTGCACCCCCTGACACCCTGTCCCCTGTGCCTCCCCCAGTACGGTCTGGTGTTCGACGCTGGCTCCACACACACGTCCCTCTACATCTACCGGTGGCCCGCGGACAAGGAGAACGGTACCGGCATTGTGTCCCAGGTGGAGGCCTGTTCTGTGTCTGGTGAGTGTGCCAGGATCTGTCCTCCCTCTCCGTGCCCAGCTCACCTGGGGGACTCTGGGGCTGGCCAGCCTTGGTGTTCCCCTGCATGGCTGTTCCCCACACCAAAGCTGATTCATGCCAGGTGTGGTAAATGCTAATTTTTTTGTTGAGCATTTTTAAATACCCACAGCAGCATTTATTCCTATTGCAAAAGTGCTGTCAGGCTTTGGCCTAAGGCCAAGTCTCTCTGGAGGAAAGGACCAGGCTAGAGAGCAGATGTAGGATCAGATCAATGGTATAGAGAGTTGGGCCAGGGCTGGCAAAGGCCACCAGGTCCCCAGCAGAGGCACCTGGGCAGGGACGAGAGGGCTCAGAACTCAGCTTGCCCTCGTGTCCCACTCGGCAGCAGYGGTGTGGTGGTTACTGGTTAATGGCAAAGGTCTGGCTGAGGGCAAAGTGTAATGGAAGGGCTGCCTGGGCTAACGGCACACATTGAGTGCAAAGCTCTCGGGAAGATAAAGAGTGATATTTCCACCCCAGATTCTGTCCCTACCCACTGCAGGGCCATGCTGGGYTCTCAGATCCAGTGCCAGCCTCTAAAAACAGGGACTCAGGCAGGCTGTGCAGAGGGCACCACTGGGCACCTGTCAGCCCATGTGTCCTTGCAGCAGGATGCAGGAGAGCCTGCCCTTTCCTCAGGGAACCGGGGCACAGCTGTGTTTGTCCCTGAGTGCTGCTGGACTGGCTGGCCATGCCCGCCCGCTCTGCCYGCACAGGAGCTGGGGCACACTGCTGCCCCCGGGCAGGACAGCTCTGGAGCTGCCAGGGACACCCCTGGCAAGGCTGCGACTACRCACTCTACGCAAAAAAAAAAACCCTGTGGGATTTCTGGGTGGACGTGTCCCCTGGGCAGGTGCTGTCCSTGCAGGGTGGCACTGGGCTCTCTCCATCCCCGGTTCCCTCTGGCAGGACCTGGCATCTCCAGCTATGCGGACGACCCTGCGGGGGCTGGCGCCAGCCTGAAGCCYTGCCTGGACAAGGCCATGGAGATCGTCCCGGCCGAGCAGCARCGGGAGACGCCCACGTACCTGGGGGCCACGGCCGGCATGCGGCTGCTGAGGTAGCGGCACTGCCGGAGCTTCCCCTTCGCCCTTCCCGGCGCTCGGGCACCGCAGCCGGGCCGGGGCCGCCATCGGGCACTGGGGCACGGGGCTGGGCCCGGGGGTGCCATGGGCAGAGCATCCCCTGGGGCTGGGGGTGCCATGGGCAGAGCATCCCCTGGGCAGTGCTCCGGGTGCCTGGCAGAGCCGCCGGCCGTGCCCAGGGGACACCCCGAGCCCTCTGCAGCCGCAGAGAGGGATGAGCCCCTTTGGCAGACGGGCATGAGCTGTGCCAGGGCTCCAGCAGAGCCCGCAGGCAGCGTTTGCACGGAGATTCCATTGCCCCGGGGGAGGGATTTGGGGTTTGCAGGAGCCATGTGCAGGCAGGGCAGCGATGGGGAGGTGTCCCTGAGCAGCTCCTTGGCAAGGCACAGCAGCCTCTCGCTGCCAGCCCGGCTTCAGAGCTGCCAGGCATGGCCTGCAGCCCCTGAGGGCCTTGTCCCTTTGTTGGCAGGAAGGAGAACAGCACCAAGGCTGAGCGGGTCTTTGCCGAGGTGTCCAAGGCCATCGGGGAGTACCCCGTGGATTTCCGYGGCGCTCGGATCCTGACGGGCAGCGAGGAGGGCTCCTTTGGCTGGATCACTGTCAACTACCTGCTGGGGACACTCGTCAAGGTGCAGCTCRGGGACAGGGAGGGCAGGGGAGCAGGGACAAATCCCTSTTGGAGCTGYAGCCACRTTTCCTCAYTSCCAGARGAGACAAGAATGGAGGTTTGGGGCAWTGCTCACCAGCCAAATGTCCCCTRTGCTCATGGGCTGCAGATTGAACCTCATGAATGTGATGGACAGGATCTTTGTGTCCAGCTCAGCCTGGCCCTGTGCTCTCCTGGTCTGRCACATGGGTGGATTTTGGGGWCATAGGGAYATGGCAGCAGTATCAGCCGCTCTCTGGGTGACAGAGTTCCTTTTTCCCTKCTCAGTCTCTGATCCCAGCAGAGGTGCAGCAGCCAAGAGGCCGCAGCTCAGTGCTCCATGGAAGTCAGGGTGGGTTGGAGAGGATGTGGGCAGGCAGGGGTAAAACTGGGAGCCAGGAGCACGTGGAAGGTCCCTGTGGGGCTTCTGAGGCCAAAAGTCCTTAAGGGAAGGGAGTGTGGCTGTGAGTCCCTGCAGCTCAGCCTAAGSCTCGGTGTGTGTGGGGCCAGTTCTCCTTTGCAGGAATTTGGGAACAKCCCCAGGACACCGAGATTCTGGGGGCTCTGGACCTGGGCGGTGCCTCGACACAAATCACCTTCCAGCCCGGGGTGGCCGTGGAGGACAGGAACACGTCCGTGTTCTTCCGGCTCTACGGCACCAACTACTCCCTGTACAGCCACAGCTACCTGTGCTACGGGCAGAGCCAGGCCTTGAAGATGCTGCTGGCAGCTCTGCACCAGGTACCTCGGGGCTGCTCAGCCACCTCCCACTGCCATGGAACATCTCCTGCAGCAGTTTTGGGCACGGCTGTGGGCAAAGAGTTGGGAACTGGCAGAGCTTTGGATTTTATCTATGGAACCAAAACAATCCCTGCTTTGGGTGGAATGCAGGGCTGGTTCCAGGCCAGGGCTCTCTTCTCCCCACATCTTGGCCTGGGCTGGCATTTTGTGTCATTTCCCAAGCCCAGCAGTGTCCGTAGGTTTTTCGCTGTCACCATTGTGCCGCTCTCGCTCAAATCCTGCCCAGAGAGAGATTTCTCAGCACAGTCTTGGCACAACTGTCCAGGGACACAGGCAGAGCCCAGCGCTGTGGGAGCCARGGATGCTCGGGGAGCTCTCGGGTGGGACACATCCGATCCTCCTGGGGCGTGGGTGCTGCTGTTTGGGATGGGCTGTGGGAAAGGTCCCGGTGRCATCCCCACCCCATTAATGGCTGTGTCTCTCTCCAGGCCAGCCGGAGTGCCCAGTTCTCCCACCCCTGCTACCCCCGTGGSTACCAGGAGAACGTCACTGTGGCAGAGCTCTATGACAGCCCCTGTGTGCGTGCGCCCAGCTCGGCCAGCCCTGAGCGYGTCCTGACGGTGACGGGGACAGGGGAGCCAGCCGCGTGTGGCACGGCCGTCCGGACACTCTTCAACTTCAGCTGCGGGGCGCAGTGGCCGTGCGGCTTCAACGGGGTCTATCAGCCCCCCGTCAGGGGACAGTTCTTCGTAAGCAGCCACATCCCCACAGCTGGGGGAGGGGGATCACAGAGAGTGGGGGTCTCTACTGCCACTGCCCTGGGGAGAGAGGGGACCTCAGACCTGGTTCCATCTGCAAACCTCTCCTCCTATGCTGGCAGTCAACTCCTGCCTCCTGCCATGTCCCAGYCTTCCCTGAGGGAAGTGGGCAGAGCCAGCTCAGAGTGCAGAGCAGCCCCAGTGCTGTCACCCATCTCTGAGACTTTCCCATAGACCATCAATGGGATGCCAGATGCAGAACCCTGGGAATTATATGACACTCTGTCCCCAGGCACGAGGGGCTCCTTGGTCTTTTTTCAGGTGAGGAAGGAGTTGTGGTTTTCACCATGTCCCCTTGTCTCCCAGGCCTTTGCTGGGTTCTACTACACCTTCCACTTCCTGAACCTGACCCRCCAGCAGTCTCTGAGCGATGTCAACTCCACCGTCCTGTCCTTCTGCAGGAGGAACTGGACAGAGGTGAGAGCCCTGTGAAGGGCAGCCAGGAACCTTGTKCTTGTTCTGTCCCWAATGTCTGYCCTTGGAGCACAAGCTCTGCTGTTYCCTGGGCCRGRGAGGGTTTCTGAGCATCTCTCTCATTCACTGSTGCCCTGCTGCCCCGCAGCTGGTGCAAAGCTTCCCACAGGACAGGAAGTACCTGCACACATACTGCTCCGTGGCCATTTACATCCTGACGCTGCTGCTTGATGGCTACAAGTTCAATGAGCACACCTGGAGCAACATCCACTTCAGCAGGCAGGTAAACACCTTTGGGTAGTGGGACAGGGCAGCCATGTCCCTGCCCTGGCAGTGTTCAGCAGCAGCACCCCGGGAGTCCTTTGTGCTAGAAACTGTCCCTGTTTCATGGGTGCTCTCCAGGGATCCCAGCAGAGCTTCACTCCTCCTTACTCACCCCCAAACCTCTGACCCAGCCCATGTTCCACCTTCTCTGCTGTGAATCTAACTGATTTTAAGSGGGTCAGGGAAAAGCAGAGTGGGATTTGGCCACTTTGGTCTCTGATGTTGCTATCAGAGAGGTGATGGTGGCCCCATGACCACTTTGAACCAGAGTATGGCCTGGCCAGAGTATTYCCAGGATGAGAAGAGACAGCCTYRGGTTGCACCAGGGGAAGCTTAGTTGGGTACTAGRAAATTTTTTTCATGGAAAGGATCAGGCAGTGGTGGAGTCCCCCTCCCTGTGTGAATTGGCAGCTGAGGACATGGCTTAGTAGTGAACTTAGTAGTAGTGCTGCTGGGTTCATGTAGCACTCGATGATCTCAAAGGTCTTTTCTGACCTTACCAATTCTGCAGCCAAATTAGAAGGATGATGGGCATGAAGGAAAGCCCAGATGTGAAATCATGTGCAGGTCACAGAGGCACACCCGGATCAGAGCAGTTCATGCTCAGCTGTCCCTTAGCCCTCAGAAGAGGGGACAGGAAAGCTCTTTGTGCAACTGCTGCTGGCAAGGTCAGGCTCAYCACAGCCCCGGTGCCCATGTGCAATGGCAGCTGGGACAGCTCATGGGAGAGGTGCCCCTCAGCCCCTTGCACCAAAGCCACTGGTACCTCRGAGAGGCACTTGTGCCTGATGCCCTGTGCTGTCTCCCCTCAGGCAGCAAACACAGACATCGGCTGGACGCTGGGCTTCATGCTGAACTTCACCAACATGATCCCTGCTGAGGCTCTGCAGCACGTCAAGGGCCACCAGCCCGGCCTGTGGGCAGGGGCAGTCTCCTTCCTTGTGCTGGCTATCGTGGCAGGCCTGGTGGCCGTTTCCCTGCACTGTTTCTGGAAAATAAAGTAGCTCCCTCCTGACCAGAGGCATGCTGCCCACCAAACCAGGCAGGGAAGTGGTGCAGAAGAAGTGGAAAGTGGAGAAGAGTGAGGGCATTAGACCCATCTCCATTKCTCAGGAGATCTGACTGGGTCATCTCTGTGAATGTTGAAGATGACAAAGGTGTCTTGATCTCTCTGCAAGAGGAAGACTCCTTTAATCTGACTGCCAAAAGCTGACTGTGACTTGCTGGCTGGATGAAGCCAGAAAAAAAACAAACTAGAAATAAAATCAGTTTTGTTTTTCAAATACGAATGTCACTGCTCAGCCTAGCAGTTTCCTAGGCATTCCCAGTCCTGTTGGGCTATGCTCCCAACAGCCCTGCAAGGCAACTGGAAATGGAGAACCATGGTGGGCACYCAACTCTGAGCAGAGGGATGACATCATCTGTATCCTGTCCTGTGCAAGATGTGCAGTATTTTTATATTATGTGACAGAATCTTTTCCCAAAGACACTGTCAGCTGTCTTTAAAAATACTTACTGGCATATCTCAGCAGAAAAACACAAGTGGAAGTTGATTTAAGAGTTGCCAACTCTGGCTCAGGGTTTATTTTATATTCAAATTACACTGCCCAGCTTTGTCAAGAYACCAAATGCAGAAGAGGTTCCAGCTCCAGGCACTTGAGTATTTTATTTAAATCAGTAGAGCCCAGCCCAGCTCAGCTGCAGGCACCAGACAGGGCTCAGTCCTTGCAGTACCAGYCCAGCACATCACTTCTCAGCCAGCCCTATCCCCAGGGACTCCAGGGCTCTCCCACAGCCCTGCTCTGAGCAGTGGGGATTCTACAAATGCCTCTTCTTTTTGCTTCAAGATCCCACCTTGGACTTAGGGCTTAAGCAAAGTACTCAAGACATCTGGCCAAAGAATAGTCTGATCCGCAGGGCATTTGCTGTGGAAGCCTGGTGGTCCTAACTTAATGGTGTTATCCCATTAATCCCACTGCAAACTGGTTCCACGAGCCTTTTGAAAGCGCATCTCTGGCTGRTGGAGATAAAGTTCTGTGATCCAAGAGCCTGGGGAACAGGCCCTTCTCCCAGGCAGCCTCCCTCAGCTTCGGCAGTGAGGCTCAGCCTTCCCAGGCTAAACGTGTGCAACAAGGGAGAGGGGATGAAGACTTCCACCTCCGCCCACCCAGGGGAACATCTTCCTACCCAGCAGTCTGAGCTGCCCCATGGACAATTCCCAAACACCAGATCCYTCTCCCTACTCTCTGCTCTGTACAGACACGTCCTTGGCAGTGTAAGCATGAGGTAAAAATGCTGTAAAAAGGCTGTAGGAAATGCCTTCACGGCTGGAGCTAACCCCATGGAGCTGCAAGTGGGAGATAGCCCCTGTCCARGTATGGCAGAGCTCCTGGCTGTGCTGGCTGGGGCCCCAATGAGCTGGGACCAGTGTCTCCCACCCCTGGGGGWGCAGGCAGGCAGGAAAAGGCTCCTGTTTGCTATAGGAAGGCAGCATCACAGCTGCTCTGGGTGGCAAAGCAYTTGGGGAAGATGCCAGTCTTGCCATTGCAGCATCCTTCCAGCCAGTCCTCATTCACTGGAAAACATAAAAGAACAGGAGTGAGCCCTGGTCCATTAGGAGTGAGGCTAGTGAGGGTTTTCATGGCTGGAACTTAACTCTGGGCAGCACYCAGTGCAAGCCTGTACTTCCTGAGAGTATGAACCTGAGACAGCACAGGAGAGGCTGTGTTTTCCCCAGTCCCTTCCTGCAGCAGACTCCAAAAGCTTGGCCTTGCAGCAGGGCTGGACAGCTACCTTCAGAGAGGACATCCAGCACATCTCCCTTGCTGAACTCCAGGTCTCCCGGACCCTGTGCCAGGTAGGAGTGCTGAGCCAGCATCCGGTAGAGAACAGGTCTGCYCAAGTGGGAGTCTGAGTCCTGCAGAGGAAAGCCAGCAGGGAGATTGAAAGGCAAAGCAGAGCCCAGAGCCCAGCCCAGCAGAGAGTCCCCAGCCCACGCACCTGGCAGCAGAGTGTCAGCCTGCCATCCACCAGCTGCTGCCACATCTGCCCAAGGTCCTCCTCTCCCGACACTGTCCCCATCTTTGTGCCATCCGGGAGCCTGTAGCTGCAAGAGTTCATTAATCTGAGCAAATMATCTCCTTTAATGCCAAACATGGAGGCAAGCCCAGCCTTCTGCCTCCCTCAKTCTTCACAGTCCCCTTTTCAGGCCAGCTTGTCCCCTTGCACAATGTCATGGGGCCACCGCACATGCTCAGCAGCAGAAATGGGACCGCGGGGAGTGACACTGTCACCTCCTCACACACTAATTTGAAGGAAAGATCTTAAACTTCCCTGACACCACTGTGTGTCCCCATGGGTGTCATAGTGAGGGAAACCTCACCCCAGGATCTGCCTCTCACACTGCTCTGCATTGATCCTTGTTACTGCAAARGCTGAGTGGGAGAAAATCCAATATGCAGCAGATGCATCTGCACAGTTTTTCCTTCCGTTTCCCCTTTTTCTTGACCATGGTATGGTTTCCTAGGAAATATCCTTTAGGTTTCCTAGGCCCATAGATTCACAGTCATAGARYGGTTTAGRTTGGAAGGAATCTTAAWGGAAATTTAGTTYTACCCCCTGCCATGGGCAGGGAATCTTTCACTGTACCAAGCTGCTCTAAGCCCCATCCAATCAGGCCKTGAACAGTTCCAGGGATGAGGAGTCCACAATTTCTGTTAACAACCTGTGCCTGGGCCTCACCACTCTATATTAAAGAATTCCTTCCCAATATCCCARCCCTCTGTCAGTTCGAAGCCATTCCCSCTTGTCCTGTCACTYYGTGTATTTGTCCTAAGTCCCTCTCCAGSTCYCCTTGAGGCCTTYATGTACTGGGAGGGGAWTTACAGGAGGAACAGCATGCACTCCACCATGGGGATCACGCTGTTGTCACCCCAAAGCCACGGTAACCTTTGCCCTCCAAGCACTGCATGCTCACATCTTTGCTGGAGCGGGGCCCTCAGCCCCAGGTAAATGTTCCCAGGGGAGCAGAGGCAGCTGGCTGCCCATGTGCTGAAGTGCCGCCCCCCATGCCCGTACCTGAGCGTGCCCTGCTGTGCCTGCTGAGCGAAGCGGTCCCGCAGCAGCGCCCGCAGCAGCGGCAGCGCCGGGGCCTCGCCYGCCCGCAGCACCAGCGAGCACTCGCAGCACACCCGCAGCACYGCCGGCCGCTCCTCCCCGTGCCATGGCAGCATCTGCAGGGAATGTGGTCAGTCAGAGCCCGAATCAGAGAATCCTGAGTTGGAAGGACCCACCAGRATCATCCAGTCCAACTCCAGCCCTGCCCAGACMCCCCAACARCCCCACCCTGTCCATCCCTGGCAGCGCTGTCCAAACGCTCCTGGAGCTCTGGCAGCCTCGGGGCCRGGACCATTCCCTGGRGAGCCTGGGCAGTGCCAGCACCCTCYGGGGAAGAACSCAGACTGACCATGAAGTTCATGGACTCAGAAGAACCACAACTGACTAACAAGCCCAGCTGACAGTATCTGCTCTCACACCGAGAGGTGGCACAGACACATCCCCTCATCTCTGTGCTGCCATGTCATGGTAAAACATTGTAAAAATGCAGACCTGAATTTCAAAGAGAGAACTCTGGATTCAAAGCCTGGGATCAAATATTCCTCCCATGATCCAGAAACCCTGTTTGTTTTTGGTTCTGATTTTACAGGTACCTCCTAAACCCAAAATTATATGAGCAGGGCCCCAATTCCTCCAGCCAGCTGGCAAGGAGCAGCCACATTCCTCTGTTGTGTTGCCTTCTGGCTGAACAACAGCTGACAAAATTACCCCAAAAGCCCTATAAAAAGGGGTGGCAGAGCTGACCTGAAGCTGGGGGACAGAGATTATGTCCCCAGGGGCCACAGGGGTGAGTCCAGGGCTACCACACATGGGTTGGCAATGACATGGAGGTTCCTCACAGGACATTATCCCACAAGGCAAATATGAATGAACTATGCCATCCAGACCGATAGGGACTGAAAATGGCACACAGGAAGAGGGGGGAAGGGACAGCAGGATGTTCAAAGACACCTGCCTCTTGCAAAGTGGGCTATAAAACATGTGCATGAGAACTCTGATGTGTTTGGTGCTCCCAGTGCCTTAGAGTGTGGCAACAGGTCAGCCTTCGGCTGTCTCACGAAGTGGGATCATCACAAAGTGGGAGGAAAGAACACATGGAACCCTCCCTTAAGAATGGAAAAGTGATCAGAGGAAWTTTTTTTTCTGTGATTTGGGAGCAGCTCAAGAATTTTGGAGGATCTGGGCAAGAACCTTGCATTTTTCACAGCCCTGGTCTCCTGAGGCTGTGCCAGCTTCAGCCGATGGAACACCTCACCTTGGAGTCCATCTGGGCATTGGCATCATTGACAGAGGCGATTTCTCCCCCAGGAGGATCTGCAGAACAGAGCAGGGGCAGGGGAACAGCCCTGCAGTCAGCAGAGGCTGCAGTGGGACCACCACCACCCCACAGSCCCTAAAGAGTGGGGTTTGGGCACAGCTTCACCCACTGAGGTCCCTGCTCAGGGACTACCTGGCTTCTGCTTCACGTGGAGACGGCTGGGAGGCACCTGGGCAGGAGGMAGGGGAATCCCAGTGCTGATCTTCTGCAACAGAGCAACATCAGAAAGAAGAGAGCGGAAAACACAGGAGCCTGGCTAAGGCTGGTGTGTGACAGGCTGCAGCCAGCTACAGATGTGTGGATGTAACCCCAGGGAGAGCAGATCATCAATGGTTGGATGAGGTGGAGCAGGCAGAGGTTCGTGGGATACTGCCTAGGCCCCCTGCTCCCTGCTGGGGTGGTGCTGGAACAGGAGGTTGCTCACACTGCTGAGGGCTCTCCCCRCTTGAGCTGGTTCACAGTGACACATCCATGGAGCAAACGCCCAAGTGTGTGCCAGGGAGTCATTTTGAGGGGAAAAAAATAGCAATTAAAAAAACCATAGCAACATCAGAACAACCATGTGCTTGAAAAATCCCTCGCAGGAAACAGGGCAGAGCTGCACCTTTCCATGCTGGGTTCAGATGGAAAATGACAGGGATGATGTGTGGCTATGGAGATTGCAGATGAAGTTTTCCTGAGTCAAAGGTGAGTGGCACATGGCCCCAGGGCAGAAAGCAGGGCCTATTCAAGGCACTCCTGTCCCACTGSAGGAGATTCACCTGCTCTCCCTGTGCTGCTGAAGCAGAAGCTGGGAGCTCTCCCCACCCACTCCCTGCTGCACCTGGTGGCTGTTGCCATCAGGGGAGCAGGCTGGATGAGCCTGTGCCTCAGGCCCTCWAATTCCTCAGGGAGTTCCAGTGGTTCAGTAAGTTCCAGGAGGCAGGAGAACCAGGGCAGCTGCTTCCTTTGTCCTTTCCATCAGCCCGTGGCAAGAAAGGGATAACAACACCTAGACCAGGCTGAGATACAAACCACTGTGATACAGGCTTGGCTTGTGTCCAAGCCCACAAGTTTTGCTGTAAAGAGATCCAATGTATGTATATTTGTAAAAGGACATTTTTCCTACTCCTGACTCTTCTGTTGTTCAAGAGCACTTGGCCTTCAGTCCACAGTCTCAGTGTTGCATACTCTATGCTTCTCCCACAGAGTTGTCCTGTCCTATGAAAATCTTACAGATAAGTCACCCAAATGTCTTAGTCCCTCCCTCTCCTGGTTGCAAGGTTGCCAGCTCACCCATTTGTCCATCCTTGAGGCAGGCTCCAGTAGAGAGCTCGGGATGTSCAGCTTCTGCAGAGGGACACAGAGCAGAGCAAGCTGAGAGAGGAGCCCAGTGACCCCAGCCCAGCCCCCGGCACTGCTGGTCACCCACGGCCACACCGCTGTGCCCAGGGGGCCTGGGSTCACTCCCAGCCACCCTAGTGCCCTGTGCTCAGAAACTGATGGACAAAACCCAACAGTCCTTGTGCATCTTCTCCTGCTGGGAGCAGAGCTGCTGATGGAGTGGCTGCAGTGGAACAGGCCAAACATGCATCAAATCTGCTCGCAAAACAGCTGCTCAGGCAGACAGCAGCATGGATGTCCATGGATACCAGTCCAGCAGCATTTCTGTGTCTTCTGACAATCACTGCTGTTCATGTCAATTGTAATTTTTTGCTTACAAAACTTTTTTTTTCTGTCCAGAGTAAATTTTTATTTTTTCTACATTGACTTTCATCTGGCACTTCAGTGAGCAGTCAACCAGCACATCCAGACACTTGTGTAACTGTTCCCTGTTAACTCCAGATGCTTCAGGCTCTGCTGAATGCTTTGATTGTCATAGCATGGCCAGCTTAAGAAATCAAATATTTCCATCTCTATTCCTTTATCACTTAGGAATATGCTAATTGCTTATGTCACAGCAGAGGAAGGAAGGAGGGAAGGAGGGAAGGAAGGAAGGAGGGAAGGAAGGAAGGAGGGAAGGAGGGAAGGAGGGAAGGA